TCAAATCCTATTAAACCGGGCTCTAGTTCCCCCATCCTATTAAACCGGGCTCTAGTTCCCCCATTGCCAAGCATGTAAAATTAACGTCTTATCTGGTTCATTAATGACAGGGATTACAGGCTCAGTTCATGTCATCTTAAGTCAAAAAGATAGGGAAGCACCACTTCCAGCAAGGAAAAAAACCACCATTGGAAGAAGTGATCAATACTTTATAAAAAGGAAAAGATATTTCCCTGAAATATTTATTTTTATATTATTTCACAACAGTTCTACTGCAATCATAACCCTCTTAAATTGGAACTTTACCACCCCACCCCACCCCAATTAATTTACACTATCCTAAAATCCATGTGAGTCCGAATGCATTCACTTTGATTCATCGTATCTCAGGCCTTGGACAAAATCTATTTACCTGTATGCTATTCAAAGTGAGTCAGCATCCTTGAATAGCCTATATGTAGTTGATATATGTGTCAGCTCTAATGAATGGATACAGAATAATTGGAGTCGCATTCCATTAAATCAGAAGTTGTCAAATTTAGTTTTAAGGATATTTTTTCCCCCATGACATTTCTGGTATACTACAGCTGCTTCATCATAGAAGAAGGTAGAATACTGCATAGAAAACTAGAGCCCGGTTTAGCTATAAAGGACTTGTCTCCTCTTGACAATCATTTGTGTTTTCCTAGGTGCCATCACTGCTTTTTCTGCTGGCTTTGTGAAGATCCGATGGGCCTTCTGGTCAAAACTGGTGATTGGGGTTGTGACAGCAGTCCAGGCAGGCCTACTGTTGTTGATGAACACAACTGCCAATATTTGGCTGTGCTATGTGGCCTATGTCCTCTTCAGGGGCTCCTACCAGTTTCTTGTGCCTATAGCCATGTGAGTGATGGTGGTGAGAACTGACAGCTAAATTTACATTTTTACACTGGTAAAAATGGATACACAGAGCTTCCGCCAGCCAACCTAGGAAACTAGTTCAGCATTGGAGCGAGAGCTATCGTTCACGTGTCTGTAAAGTTACATGGTTGCACACGGAGCGAGATCCAAACATAGTGCAATATTCCAGGATAATGCAGGGTTTTTGTAAGGATGTTAAAACTGAAAAATACTGGATCAGATGTTCCTACTATCTTACCAGGCCAATGGGTTAATGCACCTAATCTGAAAATAGTTCGCTAATAATGATGACAAATAATTTTGTCTTCTAAATATCTTATTTTCCAGGGTTTTTTTTCCCTCTAAGGGCCCTCCTCCCACAAATTTATAGCAGTAGTATGTATTGCGGTAGCATCCTCTTCCCTAGTTTGCTGTCCTCAGATGGGTTGGCTGTAATCCTGCACATTTTGTTGGTGTATTATAAATATCAGGAGGAGGATGGAAGAGTCTGCTGTAACATTTTGAGACTTTAAATAAAACTGACAGTAGCGATTGTGGGTGACCCTCGTTTGCCAAGATGTTTCAACAAATGAGCAGAATCCAGCCAAAAGCTGATCCCTTACCCAGGATGTGTGTCTTCTTTCTGCTCAGGATATTTTGAAGTGGCACAAAGCTAATTTGTTTTCTCTCTCTGACTGAAGTTTCCAGATCGCATCTTCGCTGTCCAAAGAACTCTGTGCTCTGGTGTTTGGTGTCAATACTTTCCTTGCCACAGTTCTCAAAACCATCATCACTATCATCATAACCGATAAGAGAGGCCTGGCTCTGCCAGTCCATTCCCAGGTAAGGAAAAGAGCAAGTTACTCTACAGTTACCTTAGCTGCTCCTTGTTCAGTGGAAGCTGCCTATCAGGAAGGCTTTGCCTTTCCTGTTATGGGAAGCCATATAAAAGTTGCCCCTGACCAACAATTTTGTTTGGAAGCTTGTGTGGAGATAGATAACTCCTCACAGTGGGGCTTTCCCATTTAATTTGATTGGGGTACTTAAAGCTAAACTAATTCTGAGCTCAGAGGAAGAGCAAACGAACTTATTTTGCTCACTTCCAATTCTCCACGTCACTGCCATTGAGGTGGCAAGATTCCTCTTCCTTCTTCTTCTCTGTGTTCACAGGAAGGAGATTGGGTCTGACTGCTGGTGGTTAGGTAGGGCCAGTGTTTGTGTTTGTGTTCAGGCACTCTAGGTCTGGGATGGTGAACCTACGGCATGCGTGCCAGAGGTGGCACATAGCCCTGTCTGTGGGCAGGCGTGCTGTTGCCAGCTGCTCTTTTGGTTTCCGGCGCACGCGTGCACTGTGCTCTTTGCAGGCACCGGAGTGCTGAAAAACAGCCTGAAAATGGCCCGAAAAACGGCCAAAACCAGGGCCCAAAAATGCCCAAAGAATGGTCTGAAAATGGCCCAAAATAAAACAAAAAACCTGCATGACATGCCGGCCAGCTGGTCTTCAGGTTTCCAGTGCTCCAGCACACTTACATGCACGTACATTCTGGTTTCGGCACAAAAAAATTCGGCATCATTGCTCTAGGGATGGCGGACGCATGCCACAGGTGGCACGCAGAGCCATTTGTCAGGCCACGCGAGGC